TCCAGGGCTCATTCCGGAAAGTCCTATGGCCAATCTTAGCTCCTCTCATGGTAACATATTCAGTGAGAAAGGAGATCCTATAAGGTCAGGCAGATTGTTGTTAGAAATGTGATCCAGCAACTTTAGGTTTGAAGAAACCCAGGCACACAAGCCCATATCCACATCCCACATTCAGACCTGTCTGTCTCCATTATCCCGATACACCACTGGGGTCTTTCCCTATATTCAAGAAGTGGACTCTAGAGCTGCCCTGTCCATTTGTAAGGAATAGCACGAGGTAAGATGCCTGAAACTGGCAAGTGAGGAAATCTTTACTTATTCTAAGTAAATGACTCCCAAGGACAAGGTAGGATGTAGCTCGCAGCTTCTTCAATGTTGCTGCACATTTGCAACATACATTTAATTTATTTTAGCTAATGAAAATGCTCAATAGTGACTATGTCTGAGCCCCTCTGGAAAAGAAGTCGTGCAATACCCAAAGATGTTTAAGTATCTCTGAAAGACAAGAAGAATCTGTGTTAGGGGGTGGCTCTATATATAGAGACATTAAACTCATAGCCAAGAGGATAATGGTGATTATGACAAAATCACAGGTAACAAGGGGGAAAGAGAAAAGAGAGGGATGAGAGAACGTAATGTTTCCTTCACATTCTGTTTTTGAAACAGGATTCAAGAAGGATATCGTACCATTTGGTATTCATTATTTTCGTTCACGCACATGGCTAATTATTTCTACAGCATTCAGATCTCGTTAAAACAAACATGTTTTGCACATACACCCCCATCTTTAAAAATATGCCTTTTATTCCCTTTTCCAGAGCCTTGAGGAAATAATCTGATGGACTGTCTTAGGAGCAGTGCTTCGGGAATAAATGTAGACTATATGCTAAAAAATGTAACTTGCTCCTAAAACTTGCATAAACAAATCAAAGAAAAGGACATTGTAGCATTTTGAGTATAAACAAAATGATTCTCAACTTAACTTGCAGATCTTTTTTTAATGTTCAGTAATAAATTTTACTCCCAGAAGATTACACTGTCCTCTCCCTCCCCAAACTTCTCCTCCTCCTCCATTGCCCCAGTTGTCTTTAATGTCAGACCCATAATTCAGTTGTCTGGCTTGAACTCATTATGGGAATCATTAGACTTGATTTTCCTGAGGCCAGCCTTGAGTGAGGGTCGTCTGATCCTAAATGGTCAATGTTTCTATAGTCTCAGGAATCATTCTCTGAAAGCGCTTCACCTTCTCCAGGCTGTGGCAATGTGGCTACATGAAAACACGTTGCGTGATTACTGAATTTGGGTGACTCTTGTTCCAGCGAACTAGGAGGTTGTGTGTGTTCCTTCGCCTGCATTGCTGGGTCTGATGTGCGGATGGCTTTTGTTCCCTTGCTGGGTGAGCCAGGTCAGCCCTAACATGTCTCACCATAACTGCAGACCTTCCGTAACCGGTGCTCATGTAACTGCTGGAGTTTGGCTCAAAGCAAGGTAGAAACCTGTGACAATGGAGACTATTCCTGCCTTCCCCTCATATTAACCAGTTTGTGATTACGGAGAAACAGGGTAAGTAGTTCTTGCCCCGACCGGATGGATGGCATTGGAGGCCAGGCTCTGAAGAGCTAGCTGCTTGTAAAAATCTGGAGCTTAACTCCCCCTACAACAAGAAGCTCCTTTACGCTTTGGAACTTCAGAGAAAGGAGCCAAGTTGCCCATTTCAGAGCAGGGAGATTCCAGGGAAGTCATCTGGGTGTCGGCTTCTGAGAACTGTCTTCCCACGCTCACACTCTCCCACTGTTCCTGGCCCCGCCCTCCTGCTCTCACCAGTTACCCCAATTCTCACCATCATCACTCCCACCTGGTCCCTCTCCTATCACCACCTCTGCCCCAGAGTGAAAGAAAAAAGACACCTTACCATGGCTCTTCCACCAGCAGCACCAGGAAGCTGCTACTGCCATTTCTATTTAAATGGACAGGGATGTTGGGCAGAGAGACACCTTGAAGCCTGGAAGTTAAGCCAAGTGTTCAGATCATTCTTTTCCCAATATAATGTGAATATCTTGCTCTTGCTGGTACTGTAGAAGGTTCTCTACTCATAGAGATGTGATATTCAGTTTATGTATGGGTTTACATTTCAGCATGAACTCTCCCACCACTTGTGTCACCAACCTTTACGGAGTGCCTACTACCTACTAGTGACCAGTAGCAGGAATAATAATAGCTAATACCTACAAAGCACTTTGAGTCTGCTAGGGTTTTGCATGGAGCAGCCCCATTAAGTAAGCACTCTTCTAGTTGCCATGGTACCATCTGATTAAATGAGGTGCTGCACAGAAACAGATATACAGCGATATAATCTATACGTATGCCGTACCTTTATAACTGAATCTTCCCCATTGCCATCCCTACCCTGCCTACTTTTCTCAGATCCCTTATCATGTTATTTCACCCCAATAGACTTTTTTCTGGAAAATGATTGCTTACTACATGTCAATTGGCTGTTCACAGTTTCAGATATACAAGTAGACAGACATGGGAGACAGCATCTAGAAACCTCTAGACTTAAGCTCTCTAAGAGCAAGAACTATGTTTTCTTCTTCTCCACCCTAAGGCCGTGGCACTGTGCCTGATACCTACTGGATAGGTGTATGCTAAATATGTGTTATGTAAATGAATTTCACAATGTGCCATGTGCTAACATCCTGTCTTGTAAAAACTGCTGGGAACTTCACAGTATTTGCTGACCGGGTTGTTCTGGTGTCTGATGCCCCACTGAAGGACACAACAAAATTGAACATCGATTCAGGGGCCTGCTAAGAATAAATAAAGTGCGATGTGGGATGGAAGCCACAGTATAAGAAAAGTTGATGCTCTTTGACATGAATTGATCTGTTCAGCACAAGCTAACCACAGAACAAAGCAAAGTCTTCCTTCAAGCATAGAATGAGTTCCCTCTGGGATTTATAAAATGGACCAATCCAGAGGGGGCATGGCTCCCACCCCTACCATTTAAAACTAGCTGATTTTTAGGGTATTCTCCAATTTCACCTATCTCCCCGCTCTTAGCAACCTGTTATGGATTTGTTTGCTGGAATGACTTGGGGTAGTGGCTGGGGTCAGGAGTGAGTTTAAAGCATTTCACTTCACCACCAGTAAAGGGTAACATGATTTAATCAGTTAGTCTGCTGAGATGGGCACAGAGTTACCTGATAACTATTGGGGCCATGCCACTGGGTGAAATCTTTCCGTTAAGTGACCCTGAAATACAATCCCAACCTGAAATTGCCGAGTCAGTGGGAATTTCTCCAGGCATCCATGTTCAGCTGGCCCTAGCAACGATTCTGATTATGAGACAATGCATTTTGGCAAAAGGTGCTGGCTTTTATTTTCCAGCTTCCAAACTTAAAAGTGTCCAGTTCATTAAGTTCAAGGGCTGCAGTCGATTAAAGGTAGCCCCCGAATGATGTCTGAAGACCCCCACTGTATTTTAATTACACTAAACCATGGCATTTAGGCAGCTGGTAAAGCTGAAGTCAGAACTCTGCCTGGGCCCTCACTGACAGAAAATAATTCCCCAAACTGAATTGCCTGAATTTGACTAAGTATGGGGGACCATTTTACAAATGGTTTCGTGCTGAGGTTTCAGATATTTCGAGGTGGTCAGAATAAGGTATGGTTTCCTCTACTGCTCCAGGATACTCCTAGTTCTCATATGTCAGGAACCCAGGTGTTGAGCCCAAAAGAAAGCCATAGAAATAAGCACGGATGTCATGCTGTTCACGAATGTCACAGTCTCCTTAAACCCCATTTTATTAAACTTTTCAGTGAGCCCCTCGTTCAGATTATTCCACAAACATTGTATGTGCCAGGTACATCATGGTGGCGGGATATGAAGTGAAATGTGACTTAATGCCTTGCTTCCTTCAAGGAGCTTCCGGTCCACAAGGGGCTAATGGGGAAACGAGTGGCCACTGAAGCTAAATGGCAGCTGCTCCTGTGTTCCCAGCATGGTGGTGACAAGCTAGAGGTAAACCCAGGAGGGACAACCAGCACCAGTGTGTCACCTCAGTCAGCACTGTTGTTTTCAATAGCAGAGCAAGGAGGTCAAAACAGAATCACTGATTTTCTTTTTTGTTTGTTTTTTTTTTTTTTTGAGACAGAGTTTTGCTCTTGTTGCCCAGACTGGAGTGCAATGGCATGATCTCGGTTCACCACAACCTCCGCCTCCCGGGTTCAAGTGATTCCCCTGCCTCAGCCTCCTAAGTAGCTGGGATTAGCAATTCTCCTGCCTCAGCTTCCCAAGTAGCTGGGATTAGAGGCATGTGCCACCATGCCCAGCTAATTTTGTATTTTATAGTAGAGACGGGGTTTCTCCATGTTGGTCAGGCTGCTCTCGAACTCCCGACTTCAGGTGATCTGCCCGCCTCGGCCTCCCAAAATGCTGAGATTACAGGTTTGAGCCATGCACCTAGCTTCTTTTTTTTTTTTTTTTTTTTTTTTAGGACAAAGTCTCACTCTGTTGCCCAGCCAGGAGTGCAATGGCACTATCTCAGCTCACTACAACCTCTGCCTCCCTGGTTCAAGCGATTTTCCTGCCTCAGCCTCCCAAGTAGCTGGGACTACAGGCACCTGCCACCACACCCAGCTAACTTTTTGTATTTTTAGTAGAGGTGGGGTTTCACCACGTTGGCCAGGCTGGTCTTGAATTTCTGACCTCAGGTGATACACCCACCTCGGCCTCCCAAAGTGCTAGGATTACAGGCATGAGCCACCGCATCCAGCCAAATTATTGCTTTTCAAAGTGTTTCTTCTTCTTCATGCTGCAAGAACATTCAATTGACATTTGGGGGCTTAATGTCCCTTGGCTTTACCCAGATGTGTCCATAGAAAAAAATGACGCCATAACCAAATAGAAAATCTCTTGGAACATTATTTTACTTTTCATCTGTTTTTTCAATTCTAGTCAATTCAAAGCATAGACTATAGTCAAAGGGTGCATTCAGTCCCAAAACTGTTTACAAGCAGTGTTTAGGGAGGACAATGGGACTCTGCCTGGGCCCAAACAACCTATAATGACCTCATTTAAAAAAATTACCTTTTTCCCAGCTGTAGAAACTTCCTGCTGCTCTTCCACATTTATATAGAATTACCTGTGTCTACATCTATGTATTAATCATTCCTACTTATATGCCTGCCTGCAATGGGTCTATTCAGAGTCCTATATATCTATATACCTACTAATGTAATTTTTTTTTCTGCTTACTTCTTTTTTCCCCTGTGTTTCAACTCATTCGGATCTCTTCTCAGCATTAGAGATTATGTTTATTTTTGTGGCTAAATCTTGGTCAGCCCAACAGCAATATTTAAAGAAACAATCTCAGATGTCTACCTTTTATTACTTATGAGGCCTTGGTGATATATAAAAAAGGGGACCTCTAGGGCAAGTTTCATGACAGGTCTGCTTGTTAAAAGCAACAACAATAAAAACAGCTTTAATACCGTCTCCACCTTCCTGACCACTTGTCCTCTTGGAGGTCAGCTAGACGCTGGCAGTTCCCTAGGAAACACTGTATTACACAGAATACCGTGCCACCTATCTAACTTCTAGCTCTGGCACCCTATCCGCTGACCCCTTTTCGACAATCAGCAGTAGGAATGAACTTAGAATACAACAAAAGGGCCTCTTGGATTTGGTAGTTGATCAAGAATCTCAGAGACACTTAAAATATATATGCATGAACTAAAACGGGCCCAAACCTCTCAGCAACCCACATGTCACATACTCACAAAAATATCCAATGGAGGTTCTGGCCCAGAATAGAAAAGTCCTGGTTTTAATGAGCTATGAAAATGGGGGACTTAAAAAATTACAGATGTGGGGTTTCTTTTATTTCTTTAACTTTCAAGAACAATCTCATACATAGAGCCCCAACTAGAGATCTGTAGCTTTTAGTGACTTTCTCTCTCACTTACCCTGGGGGAACCCTCCTCCCCTGTCTTCTGACCTGTCTTAACAGACACAGACACATAATATAATTCAACAGTGCTGCTGTTATTAGCAGCCACTGTGAACCCAAGTAACCTTGCATACAAGTCTCATGGAAAGGACACATTTCCCAGTTGCTATTAATCACTGACATATTGATAGTGTGGAGGTAATATTGCGTTTGCTGATACTAGGGGAGGGGGCAGAGATGGGAAAGGGACAGTTATAAATTGCTGAGTTACTGTGTTTGTATTCAGCACATCTTGCAGCAAAGATTCTGTTTCTCTCCCCACCCCCCTCCGCCCCCCGCAACTCACACACACACACACACACACACACACACAATCAGTATAAAGATTCTGACCTCTGCCTGGAAATACAAATCCCAAGACTAGATAAAGGGAAGAGCTAATGAAGGATCACGGTTGAAGCTGTTTGATTTGTACACACTCAGCACACATCAGACTTGATTGCACAGGTCCAATTTTCCCAGAGACATGCGATCATGGCTTCTTGAGCTCCAAACCTGTGGATAATTGTTGTTTACCCCAATATTCCACTTTCCTTCTTTTCCTAAGAAGTGGTAACCTTGGTTTTGAGGTAGACACATTGCTGCCCAACTGAATGACTTGATCAGTTACTCCCTTTCAGCTAGGTGTGCCTAGACTAAATCCTGGTTGACATGAAGTAAACAAAAATGTGGTATGGTTCCTTCCTCTGGCAAGGGTCTTTGGAAAGGGGGTAAGTCCTTCATCTCTTCCTCCTTTCTGCTTTCTGAAATGCTAATGTTAAAGGCTAGAGCTATGCATCCATCTTGTATGTGAGAAATAGGCCAAGGTGCATGGATGACCTGAGGTCAGGAGTTCAAGACCAGCCTAGCCAACATGGTGAAACCCTGTCTATACCAAAAAATAATAATAATAAAATTAGCCAGGCCTGGTGGCGCGTGCCTGTAGTCCCAATTATTTGGGAGGCTGGGGCCGGAGAATCACTTCAATGCAGGAGGCGGAGGTCGCAGTGAGCTGAGATCATGCCACTGCACTCCAGACTGGGAGACAGAGCAAGACTCTATTTCAAAAAAAAAGAAAAAGGAAAAGAAATATACTACCGACGGCAGAACAGAAAGGTGACAATGTTCCTGAGCCTGTGCAGTGACCATATTTACCCTAGACTGCCTACCTCTCAACCACTTTTATGTGAGAGAAAAATAAATGTCCATGTCTTTAGCCTTTACTTCTAGTTTTTTTTGGTGATACGGAACTGCACCTAATCCTAACTGTTACAAATAGGCCTTAGAGGTCATAATAGACTTCATTTTACAGATAAGGAAACTAATGATTAAAGATCAACTTTGATAAATGTCTCAATCGGGAAGCAGAGTTGGCAAATTAATTACAGTTCTGTTTAATCTTCTTTTTCTAAAGATAGATGATGGAGGTTCTATTTTATATGCCTATCAGTATCTGCTAAATGAATACGGTTTTATATTTCACATGTCTGTGAATTTCTGAACCTCTGAGGTCTTCCAACTGGCACATCTAATCCCAAGTCACACATATTCAAGGAATAAGCTATTAAATAATAAAAAATGTGAAGAGGAATAGTAATGAACAGACTTGAGAAAATCTTTTTCCCTGCTATGTTCATTAGATTCCATGTCTTAATCTGCATTTTAGTACATATATCTATAAAACTATATTAATTTGCACTGGTATTTTAGATAGTGCTAAATGGAGATTTTCAAATTTGGGTGATAAGTCAGTAACTAGAATGTGGAAAGGTATCTTTACTTCAATATGTGTGCAAGATAATCTAAGCTGTAGCCATAAAATATACCCCCGGATGCTTTTACAGAATACCGAAACACTCCCTGAAACTAACAGATATTGCTAAACTGACAAAACTCATTTATTAAATTCGATTAATGGAGACTAATAAATTAGCCGTCTCTTCCTTGTGCTCCTCTGTGCCCCCTCCCAACCTTCACTCCCACAAATCATGCAATAGCCATTAAAAATAGAAGGAAACTTTCTTCCTCTATGTTAAGGTAGCTTGAAATCATCTACCTTGTCTTCTAAAATTCCTCTCTTGTGGCTTGCTAAATATCCAAAGGGAAATTGATCCTGGAAGGATGGGCAGTATGTGGTTTTCCCCATTCTACCAGACCTCCAACCCACACAGACAAAGAAACCCGATATCCAACAGAGGTTCTTCCCTCCTTCGTACCTCCACCCACATGGGTGAATAAACCTGATTTCCAACATATGTTCTTTCTTTGGGCCTTCCCTCACAGTTATGGCCAAGAAAGTTTGGAAGGACAATGAGCATCCTTTCAAATAAAAGAAATGCACTATAGAAATGAGCAGCAGAATCACAGTCTGCACTTTGCCATCAATTTTTACTCAGGCAGTGCATGCCCACGGATGGGGTTAACTCCAGCATTTGCACGCACGCACCCATGTGCTCTTGGCTCCTGGTAAGCACTTAAAGGCATTTAAAGATGTGCAAAAGGGTGTATGTCTTCAATGCTCTCTGCCCCTCACAAGCACCTCTGATAATATCCAACATCTGCTTAAATGCTAGCTTACCTTAAAGATAAACTTCTCCTTCTTTATTTTACTCCACCAGGACCAAAGTCCTGACTTGGGACTATTTGCCTTGAAAAATGAGTTTTCTCCACCTCTGCAGAGGATGGCTACTGAGTATAATGGTCTCAGAAATACTAACGGAAGCCAAGAAATCACCTGTCACGAACTATGAAGCTGTTAGTTATGAAAAGCAATATTGATATTTGCCTTCTAACTCTTCATACTGGAGGGCAAAGCAGCACAACCTGGATGTGCCTGGTGCTACGCCAAGAAGATAAAGAGACCATCTGCATCTTCCCTCCTCTGCCATTTTTGAGCTGGAAATAATGCGCATGGTGATGATAATGTGGAGTCTGTCGTTCAAAGCCCCTTCACACACATAATGATCTGATGTGCTCCTCCCTGTGAGTCCTGCACGAGGTGGGTATTTTGAATGTTATAATGCCCAGAAGTAGGAACGGAGGTAGAAAGTTAAGTGATGTGCTCCAGGTGACCCCAGCTGCTTTGACCCTGGAGATCAGAGGAGCTGTTCTTTCCACATCAATCCCCCTTGGACATATTTCAAAAATGCAACTCTTTTTCATTTGGGTCTATCTTTTCTTTGCTAATAGTAATCAAAGATCTAAAAGGTACCGATTTATCAAAGAACCGAAGCTACTAAAATTGTTTGCAATGTAGTGAAAGAAACCGGTAAACACCATTTTTAGAAAAGTTGAGACAAGTGTGACAGAAGAAATAATTTTTTTCCTCAGGTGTTTGGGTTATCTTTAAAACTTATATTTCTAATGTCCAATGCACAACGAAGATAGTTTTTGTTCTGAAATAAAAATAAAATGTGTTCATATTTGGAAACACAGAAAACTTTAAAAATACAAAAGTGCTCCTAATATCACCAACATGATATATCCACTATTTACATTTTGATTGTACTTTGGCATATATTTCTTTCTTTTTTTTTTTTTTTTGGAGACGGAGTTTCGCTCTTGTTACCCAGGCTGGAGTGCAATGGCGCGATCTCGGCTCACCGCAACCTCCGCCTCCTGGGTTCAGGCAATTCTCCTGCCTCAGCCTCCTGAGTAGCTGGGATTACAGGCACGCGCCACCATGCCCAGCTAATTTTTTGTAGTTTTAGTAGAGACGGGGTTTCACCGTGTTGACCAGGATGGTCTCGATCTCTTGACCTCGTGATCCACCCGCCTCGGCCTCCCAAAGTGCTGGGATTACAGGCGTGAGCCACCGCGCCCGGCCCCTATATTTCTTTTTTAAAGCTCACATACTTCTATGTATCTCTACAAAATTAGAATAATTCTGAATATAAATTTTGAATTCTTTCACTTAACACTGTGCTGTAACTAGAATTATAAAATAGAATCAACTAGTTTTTTAAAGCTAAAGAACGAATGAAATAAAACCAGAAAAACCTTAAACTACTGTTTGTAACT